ATTGTATAACACATTACACCAAGCACAGTCCTTTGCTACTGACATTGCATAAGACATTACACCAAACACAGCCCATTCCTACTGACATTGCATAACACAGTATTGTTCCTCTTGCATCATACTTTCTGATAGATTATAATCATATACCATTTATTACATGTTGTGTTTTGTTGTTGCAATACTGATGGAAAGATACAAAGGGGGGCTAAAGTCATAATGGCAAAATCCCTTTTTGTGTCCTGAGGCTGATCTGATAAAGTAAAATATCAAATTATTTATGATATATATTATATGTCTAGAAATAAAAATAGCAAGGTAAAGGTGTTATAAAATAAACCGCTGCATATATTTTACTGAGAACATAATTAAGATATCAAGAGGAAGTGACAGTCACTACTGATACTGGCCCCATCCTTGATTCTTATTCACAAGGACAAAAAATCTCTCACTAGTCAAAAATGAGTTTCRGGAAAAAAATCATTAAAAAATTTGTTTTGAAATTTGCTTGGACGTAATTGTGCCCATGCTGAACTGGCTGTGCTACTTGGACATTACACTGATATTAAAGCACAGCTTACTGTGTGCTCCAGTCAATTTAAAATCTTAAGAATTGGTTTTCATTCTAAAATTCAATTTTAATAGTTTTCTGATTAGTGTGCTGCATGAGATAAGTACCGGTGTATCTAAAATGCGGGTAACGGGTAGCGGGTAACAGGTAACGGGTAASRGGTAAAATAAAAAAGAATAAAAGTGAAAAAACTGACTTGATGTTTATTTAAACGGCAAATTTAAAARCATAGATTCATCGGGTATTAAATACCCGACTACACTATGTTTGACACAGGTATTGGACTCAAGCAAAGAGGGAGGTGGTGGTGGGGGGAGGGGGGTATGTATGTGAAAAATGATTGAAGAAAAAGGATGAAAAAGAAAAAATAAATAAATAGCATAAAATAAGTAAATAAATATTATGGTAGTGGGTGATTGGAACAGTTGAGCGTACAAGACTTATATGAGAGTATTATGGATATGTATCGTAGATAGGTAGCAATGGTACAGTAAACGATAAAGTACATCATACAATGTATATTGAGTTAAGAATAAAAGTGTTTCGAGTGAAGGCAACRTTACAAAACATGAGCTCATGCGTCACTGCGGTGTGGTAGGGAATACAATACAAAACTATGAAAGCTCTGGGATAGTCTACCAAGTATTTATCATCAGGGGTAAGACACAAGGTAGAGGTCAGTATTCGACCTACACGTTTCAAAACTTCTAGCGCCTTTGTTATCTTTAAAACATCTTGCTACGTAGTCTAACTTTGCCTTATTTCTGGGGCACGACAGTGACACCTTATGGAATCTTAGGCGAGTTAAATTTTCCTAGAGGAAACAGGGTCATAAACCAGGGAGTTTTCTTGTTTTCATTATTATTATTGTTTTATATTATATTTATATTTTCATGGTTATTTATCATATGAATTATTGATTTATATATATTTTATCCTTTACCTGTTACCTGCTACCCATTACTCATTACCCGCAATTTAGATACGCCGAGATAAGTACAGTAGTTGTCATGAAAATTCAGTCCTAATAATCACACTAATAATCATAATCATCTACATAATAATACTCTTCTTCCAGGGAGAAATCACCTCAGAATGATCAAGTAAGGAGTGGTTTACCTGAATGGGTGCTGGAATTGGTGCCTGCTATTAAATTTGACATCAGTACGGTAAGTGATGTACTCTATAATCTTAAGGCATTATTTTAGACAAATATGTTTCAAAACATATTTATGGTTTCTGTTGGTCCTTGTGTAAATTAAGTTGTGTTTGAGTACTGTACTTTGATAGGACATCACATTTAATAAGTAACAATTATTGTTACCAATTATATAAAGAATCAAGCAATCATACTTTATAGCAATCTTATTTATTCTGAGAGCTTAACTAAGCTCATCATATTCAAGAAGGGGAMCTTATTTCAGTGTTTCTTAGTAGTCTTCAAACAATTTCAATTCCTAATGGATATTAATATGGATATTAATGGACTGAGTTATAAAGCTCATCTATTCAACAACTGACCAGTCAAAATGACCTGCATGGCAAATATTTAAAGGGCACCTAATCCCTTGTGCAATACATTCAGCATTGATTCTACATAAAGTGAATAGATGAATGGTGAAAATAATGTTTCTTCATTTGAATTTTGSATCTTTAAGTTATGAAGGTTTATATGTGTACTTCCRTAATGTTACTAACTGTGACGTATTTGTTTTCATTTTTAATACTTAACACTAGCCATTATGAGACATCAAATTTAAAATATTTTGGAAACCTTGAGTATAATGATGATGCTTTTTAAATACCATTTTTGTGAATCAGAAAAAAAATTTGATATTTAATGAAGCCTGGGGTGACGTCACAACATTGACATAATGAAAGTATAAACCTTCATAACTTAAAGATGCAACATTCAAACAAATAAATATTTCACAATTCAACTATTCACTTTGTGTCGAATCAATACTGAAAGTACTGTATTGATGTGCTATGTGCACTTTAACCAGACAAGTTCCAATTCTGGCCAGATGTTGCCCTACGTGTATGTGTGGCGGAGCAGTGTATCAATAATTTTTGAATATATATTTTTTATATATTTTTTAGGGTAAAATTGCATTTGGGAACAGGTTGTTTGAGACAACATTGTGTTTTCAGTTTGATAGTGCTTCTGGTCATTATACAACGTCACAGGTACAGTACTGATGTTTATATATAAAATGCATCAATYACATAGTTCCATTAAAAGCCTTGCAGTAGAAGGTTTATTCGGTCCATGTGTGAAAAAGACCGCAAAATGTTTTTTCATTACCTCTCACTTTCAAGTGTGTAATGCTTTATCTTCTATCAAGGGCTGAGGAGGGGGTGGGGCAGAGGGAGCTACAGTCCCCCCACTTTTTCTCTTTTCCCTATACTAGTCTCTTATATTTTCCAATCTTAGCCCCCAACTTTTTCCCATACTAGTCTCATATATTTTCGAATATAATAATGCTCTTCAGCCCCTGCCTATCAATCATACTTACAGTGGTCTGAACTTATTAACTATTTTTTAGTACTGTTCCAAAAGATTGGAAATGATAGGGTCATGAGGTCACAGAATATGGGTTTCAAGCTGGTGTATAGATATTGCACAAAAAAGAATAGCCTGAATGTGTGGCAGCCAGCTGTACAGTAGGCATGTGTCCTTTTTCTTAGCTGTTTTTGTTTATCTTTTAGTCTCATTCTTCACTGGATCAGTTCATGCATGTCGTCAGGTGCAATGGAAAAAATGTAAGGGTCATGCTTTGTCCCAGCCCTGGCTACACAGGAAGCAAGAATGAGTGAGTTGATCAGATGTACATAATTGTAGTTACAAACCTGGATGGCATGGTGTAATAATAATGCTTAAGCTTTCACGCCTTTGTTATAAAATTAGTGTGAATGTTAATAACAAATAGGATATATACTTATTAAGTATAAATACACAGGTGATTATTGAAAATCTCGCACGCTGATTGGTCGAGAAACTCAGATTATCACAGGATAATCACCTCCAGCGATAATCTAAAATGGCGTCCAGCCACTTTGTTGCTGTTACGGGGAAAAAATGTGTCTTTTATCTTTTATCTTTTTTTGAAAGAATCACCTGTGTATTTTTACTAAAACAATTAGGGACAGGTCAAAAATTAGAGGAGGGGGAGGGCTGGTACATTTAATTTTTGGCCTGTATATTTTTTAGTAGCCCTTCCTTTCCTCATATATAAAAAAAATTRGCCCTCCACTAAATACTTGCACAATTTTTTCTGGCCCTCCCCTCCCCCATAACTTATAATTTAGGCTKACCTTGTTTTTAATATAGCAGTAAATGAGTTGCACGTCTTCCYGATCTTGTTGTCACAGTAGTTGTCATTACATTTAGAATTAACTGTTTATTTGTTTGCTTACTTAGGAGCTCTAAAAACTGTTGGACAAAAAAATTGATTTGACTTTCCTTTTGGAGATAATAGTATCAGTTTGATCCAGTGACAGCATAATTCATTTTTTTACATTTCTTTTGACCTATTTTTTATGCACAATTCTTTCTGGCCCTCCCTTTTAGCCTGCATGAAAAATAATGACCCTCCCACAATTTGCACCAGCCCTCCCCCCCCCCCCCCCCCCTCTAAATTTTTGACCTGTCCCTAACCCAACTTCGTTTTTGTTATTATTCCCCGATATTCACTTCGCCTTGGGTGAATAATCGTTACATTATTTTATGTTTAAACAGATYGAGGGGTACCAACTTCCAAAAATAACTAGAAAGCTAAAAATGCTTGGAAGTTGCCATTCAGAATCCGGTTAAGTCGCCCGAGAGTTCAGTTGCCCGGAGTCAAGTTGCCTGGAGTCGTGGTTCGATCRCCCATAATAAAACTAATTTAAGATGTCTTACAAAGATTTTATAAAGCTTTACTACTGCTAAATACATTATATTCGCGTTAACGTTTTTGCAATTCCCTTATGTAATGAACTCCRGGCGACTGAACCTTACATTACGGGCAACCAAATCAGGACTCCGGGCAACTTGACTCCGGGCAACTGAATTCTTGCACAACTTCACTGTAATTCTGTCATTCTTTCACAGTGGTGCTATGTCTATGAATGTATTAGGAACACCAGTTGGGTAAAATGCTATACACTGTTGTAACTCAAAGCTAGTCAATGTTTATAATCTAATCTATTTTCCAGACCTCCTCGTTTCATGGGGAATGGATTCGTAGTGTTGCAGACTGCAGCATGTAAAATTAATTACTCTCAGGATGAACCAGGTTGGTGTTACAAGGATGAACTTGTTTCATTTACGCATTCTTTATTTAATGCAGGGTCTCATATTATATTGTCATAAATGCATAAAATACAGTGTATAGGTGATACACTGGGACCATGAAGAGGGGGAGGCTGGGGAGGTAAGCCATCCACTTTGTTTGGGTACTTTGTCATCTAGTATTACGAACAGCAGTTGGGTAGATAGCATATTAGGTACCATAGTCAGCATTGCCTACAGTACCTGCATATATTGCTTGCAGGTCTTGTTCCAGAAGGTAACCCCAGTAATGTGGAAGCAGGTATTCCAGATTCTGATCCCCACTGGGGAGTTGATGTGGTGTTCCTCAAATCAACATCAATGTGTTATGGTCCATGGGTTGACCGTCAAAGGTACTACTTAACCATTTGCTATCATGTTTATATTATTATTCATTTAATGATTACTGTATATTCTTCCACTTGAGTTTTGGACATTTTATGACGTCATCTATGATCAATAAGAGGGCAGACAATGGAAATCTATAAAAAGTTTGTTAAATTTACTCATTGTGTTTACAGAGATGCCCTGCAAAGCTTTTTCTTTCCTTTGGACTACCAAGAGATGACAGTAACAAAACCTCTTCCAGCCAGCCAAACACGTATCCACACAGGACTTGATGTCAAATTTCACTTTGAAGCTGATGCAAATCTTGATATTCTGTTTTCAAAAAAAGAGGTAAACAAGCTGGAAACTGCTAATCTATCTTTTTGTTGACAAATAGCAGTAGAAGATAATGAAAAACTATGTTTTTTTATAATGTTCGAATTGTCCATCATTCATTCATTTATTGGTTTGTTTTCTAATAGGAAACCAAGGCGGTTCATGTGTGCTTTGGAGCCGGTTCTCATGTTGGTGTCTACCAACCCTGGACTGTCAATGAGTATGGTTATACGACATCTGTGGTAACAAAGCTACGCCACTTAGAGGCCAGCACTAGCATGGCTTATAGACGACTTGTAGATACTGATAGTCTAGATTTGGCTATTCATATGTCCTTCCCAAGAATATGGAATCAAACTCAGCATTGGTCATGTGATATCAACGTTTCCAAGGTTACGTGGTGGTTTATTTTTGCTCATAAATGGTTTTTTCAAGGTATGTCAAATTGATAATAATCCTTTTTACTAATTGAATTTTATCCACTCATAATGTACTTATTTTTTTACTTGTAGAAATGCTTGAGGACTGGACAACTAGCTATCGACCAGACTTACTAACGTTCGTTCCCTATGAATGGGCATTTAACATCATACTACGAGATTTTGAGATGGTGTGGGCTGCCAATGAACACAACTACCTTGAATGCACATCAAACAAACAGGAAATGGGTCAGTATTTCTGTTAAATTAATGTGTTCTGGGAAATATGGTATACCCCACTAGATAACATTGTTGATGAAGACATACGTTCAGAGAAGGCTTTCTTCCCCTTAAATCTATTTTATTACAGTATTAATTTTTTGTTTTGTTTTGTTTTGTTTTGTTTTGTTTTGTTTTGTTTTTCAGCTGAGTTAGCCTTCTGTGGCGAACTGTTCGAATTAACATTTGTTCTGCAGTTTCTACGCTTTCTGCCTGAAGTTGAAGAAATCAAGTTCTTTCTTCAGGTGATCTATTCTTAACTCTGCCGGCCGACTTGGTCATACAGTAATATCATGCACCAGAATTTTCGTGGTAGCCGTAGAGTGAATGTGGGGAAAGAGAGTTTCCAAATTCTTATTCACAAATTCTGATACTCCCCTCTCTGTTGATTTAATAATCACAAAACATTTCAGTGTTTTGCCTGTGATCGTATATGAGCATGTACAATTTGCATGTACCCTAAAGACGTTTTTGGATTTATTATTATCTATTATTAACACATTGTTTACATTGGTTCTGAACAATAGGTGGAGAAAGTTGTCGCTAGAATGTGTTTACCAGAACACGACACCCTCCGTCGAAGCTTTCTTTCCCTCGCTCGAACGTCTACCAAGCAGCACACACAACATGTTATTCGATCAAGGTCATCAACTAACACAGCACTTCCAGAAGAAGGTGTCGAAAGTGCAGATGAAACGACAGGTTTTCATGGAGGAAATAGTGAAACGACTAGTGGTATTTTCAGGAGACATACAGCTGAGAATATTGGTTGGGTGGATGTGATGTCGGTGCCAATTCTTGGTTTGTCAATAGGTTATACCTACCATCCCATCATTCCTAATCYGAAATACATTGTTCCAAGGGATGAACCATTGAGGTATCATCCATCGGCTTTGGAGCCAGATGTTATTACTTTAGAGTTGGAAGCAGGACCAGCAGCATTACGATTGTTTGGATCGGTCTTGAAGATACTCGCTGCTATCAAGGTATCATTGCTCATTCTCTAAACAATATAAATTATTGGTTCTTGTTTTAAGGATGGATGGGTGGAAAGAAAGTAAGAAAGAAAGAAGAATGGAAAGGAGGATGGAAAAATGAATGAAATGAGAAGTAAAATGAAAAAAAGTAATTAATGATGAAAGGATAGAAGGAAAGATATATGGATTGATAAAACGATGGATCGATGGGTGGGCAGGTATGGAAGGAAGAAGGATGGATGTAAAGAAAAATGGATGGATAGATGGATACAATATGTCTCCCCGACTAGTAGGGTGCTTGTGCCAGGCTAAAAGAATTTTGAGACATTAATAAAGTTATTATTATTATTATTGTTGTTGTTGTTGTTGTTGTTATTGTTATTGTTATTATTATCATTATTATTATTATACAGCTTCTCATTAATCCCATATAGGTAACTGTCCAATTATTTTCTTAATTGGACAGGTCTTGTTGATATGGGATTAATTAGGCATCGATATAATTACAGCCAAACAAGCTCAAGCGTTGACCCCTAGATTCGATTAATGAAATCATTAGTCAATTATTCCTTTTAT